GCAGACAGCGGTTCTAAATGGAAATCATTACGCAATGGCGTTGCCATAGAAATCATCTCCTCCTCTTTTGTCGAATGACAGGGTGATGGCCTTACACAAATTAATGCTCCTGAAAAAGAGATTTCACAAAGATCCAGGTTTGTTCAGTAAATACTCGCAGGTAATAGATGATCATCTTTACAAAGGATACACAAAAAAGCTGCCTGAAAGTCTGCTTGACCGCTCTGATGGTTGGGTTTGGTACCTTCCCCACCACCCCGTTTTGTATCCTGACAAGCCCGACAAGAAAAGGGTTGTTTTTGATTGTGCTGCTAAGTTTAGAGAAGTGTCATTGAATGATAAACTCTTGCAAAGGCCGGATTTCATCAATACCTTGGTGGGCGTAATGGCAAGGTTTGGAAAGGAATCCATACCCTTAATGTCAGACATTGAGTCCATGTTTCATCAGGTGGAAGTAGCTCTAGATCACTGTGATGCACTGAGGTTCTCATGGTGGCCAGGAAATGACATGGAAAGGGAGCCACAAGATTGCCGGCTAAAGGTTTTTCCGTTTGGTGCTGTTTGCTCAACTGTTTGTGCTGGTTATGCTTTGCGCAGAACAGACCAAGACAATGAAGGTCTATTTCCTCTGGAGGTTATTGAGACAGTGAACAAGAACTTTTATGTCGACGACTGCTTAAAGTCAGTGACAGATGAAGTCTCACCAGTTTCACTCGTGCCTAAGCTTGGAGAGCTCCTGTCAAGTGGAGGATTCCACCTGACTCAGTGGGTGTCTAATTCCTCGAGCGTACTTGCCACTGTTCCTGAATCAGAGAGGGAAGTCTGTAAAGGATCTTCAGTTAGGTGTCATGCCTTCTCAACGGGCCCTAGGCGTCAAGTGGAATCGAGAGTCAGACATATTTGGTTTCAAAGTGAAGGTTAAAGAGAAGCCCCCTACTGGCCGCGGTATATTGTCCTTGGTCAGTTCAGTGTATGACCCTCTGGGGTTCGCCAGTCCTTTCGTATTACCTGCTTATGTTATCCTGCAAGACCTGTTCTGTTGTTGATTGAAATGGGACGAGGTGGTCCTTGACAAACACTTGGAGAACTGGTAACAGTGGCTTTGTGATCTTCCACGACTGGAAGGATTTTTTGTTAATCGCTGTTGTACTTCTTATGGGTTTGGAGATGCTAGCAGTTGTGAACTCCACCACTTCGTGACGCTTCGCAAGTTGGTTACGGTGCAGTCACTTATCTTCGCTTAGTCAACGAATCAAGTCATATTCATTGTACCTTTGTGATGTCCAAGGCAAGGGTCGTCCCTCTGAACAGGATTACTATACCTCGATTGGAACTAATATTCCGCTGCCATTGTCTCTGTCAGACTTGATAAGATGACCAAACGAGAGTTAGAACTAGCTGTTGATCGATCGTTTTTCTGGACAGATAGTACGTCCGTGCTGAAGTATGTAGCAAACAGTCACACAAGGTTCCGCACGTTTGTGGCGAACAGGTTGTGTGAGATTCATGACTGTTCTTCTCCTTCTTAATGGAGGTATGTACCGTCAAAATTGAACCCAGCCGATGATGCGTCGAGGGGTCTCAAAGTTGATGAGCTACTTACAAACAGCAGTTTGAAGGTGAGTCCACCCTTTCTGTGGCAGTTAGAAGACAAATGGCCAAGTTATCCTGGTGTGGAAGAGCTCTCTGAAGACGATCCTGAAGACAAGAAAGATGCGAAGGTTGGTGGTGTACTTACTGATGGTGATGCTGTACAAGTTGACCAGTTGTTGGGGAGATTCTCGTCTTGGCACAGCCTTAAAAGAACTTTGTTGCATAATTCCTAAGATATAAGACAAGCCTCCACAAGTTCTGTGCTCGAGACAAGGAGAAGCCGGTGATAGCGGCTGTAAAGTCTAGTATTGAGCCGATTAGTGTGCCAGAAATGAGAGAGGCTGAATGAAGTATTGTTAAGTATGTTCAAGAGAAGCACTTCAGGGAGGAGATTGAAAGCCTTAAGAGAAATCAGGATATTGTAACTGTGATTCTAAGTCAAAGGTCCAAAGGAGGTTCAGTTAAGAGAGGTAGTGGCATATTTGGTTTGGACCTCGTTCTGGTGGACGGAATTCTGGTTGTTGGTGGACAGTTGCGGCAGGCTTCGCTGCCTGAACATGTCAAACATCAAATCATTTTGCCTAAAGACCACCACGTTACAAACTTGATAGTGCGGCACTATCATTTTGCACCTGGTCATTCGGGGAGAGAGTATGTTCTAAATTTGTAAATTGTAATTTGTTTACCCACGGAGCACTAAGGAGTTCATAAGAACTCGTTGAAACGTGTCAGTGCGTTCCAGATCGAACTGGAATTTGAAAGTGTTGGTTTTTTTAAGGAGAGGGGAAAACTGGAGTACCTGGCGAAAAACCTCTCGGAGCAAGGGAGAGAACCAACGTACAACAAACTCAACACACATATATGGCGTCGACGCCAGGATTCAAACCCGGGCCACATTGGTGGGAGGCGAGTGCTCTCACCACTGTGCCACCCTTGCTCCCCTTGCTTTTTACGAAGTACATTCTGGGTTATCCGAGCCAATTCAGTGGTACATAAACTTAACGCTAATTGTTTCAGCTACAGACGGTGGTTACAATTCATCAACAAAGTCGATTCGATCCACGTAGAAAGTTGATTCGATTCATCCAACTCAGCGTATGAAACAGGTCCCAAGTTCATCTTTTCAAACATCAACGATCCAACAACAGTGTTTTTATACCTCCCAAACGTTGTGACGCCATTTTGAACATACAGAATATTAGAAACCAGGCGTTAAGATTACAGTCAACTCCCAGGTAAATCAAACATTCAAGGTTCAAGTTATCTAGGGCAAATTTTTATAGGAATGATCTGAAGGAAAACAAAAATTACTTCGAGTTAGCGTGAACTTTGAGGGTGCGTAAATGTGATAATACAGAGTAGCGACCAGAACATAGATGAAAGTATTTTCAGATCTATTTACATAAATTATAGTGAGAGCATCGTGTGTTAATTTCACTGCACATTGCGAATCAATTAACTTCACATTGGTCCTGGAGGACGCCAAATATCGTTGACATCTGGATTAGCCCAGAGAGTACAGTTACAAATCCTAAAGTCGATCGACACATGAAAGGACCTAACCTAACATTGCTCTTTGAACCCAGGCCTTTTCAAACGATCTTTTCCGCATGCGGTAGGCCTGTGCATTTTAAATATTCCTGTGGTTGATATATCTCGGGATAATGCGAGCATATTACTTTCACTTCATTTTTCATGGACAAAAGGCTCGTTAGACTACGTTAAAATTAAATACATGGAAGGTCACTTCGTTTTACAAAATGTTATTGAGTCCGATAACTACGGTACATCAGAAATATCGTACTTTAGCGAATCAAACTTTACTTACCTCTCAGAAAACATGCACGAGTCCTATTAAAAACCGTTTAATCTTAATAAATAATCATTAGTTATCACCTATTTAAACGAATGAAAGAAACTAACAAATCAAGTTTAAGATGAATTAATGTGATCCGATCGTTTGTTCAAAAGCTGAAACGTTAAATGGAACCCTCATTCGATCATTGATGACCGTACAACTCGAAAAACTCAATCTCAATAAGGACAACTCAAAAATATATTACTTATCCACGCGAGCGAGCAACGAGAATGGCCGACAACTGTATATTTCGCAAAAACCAGTAAGACATTACAGAAACGCGCCCATTCAAAAACGTCGATCGTGAAAATGCAAGTAAGTGAAAAATGACGTTAATTTAGTGTCAATCAAGAAATCCCCTGGGTATATCCCTTTCCTGGTTGTTGTTCCTGCTCAGACTTCCGCAACATTTGCCTATTCTTCGATGAAGAATAGAACTTCACGCGACTAACAATAGCTCAGTCTGTTTAAAAACTGTCTAAATTTACTCCGAATTAGCATGTGACTTTTTGCTGTTAAACGCTTCAAAATTGAAAAATCCTCGATGATTGTTGTTGATTTTGCCTTAAATAATTCAATGCACTGACTTAAAATGAATTTCTACCTTTTACAAACTTCTTGGTGTTCGAATCGATCCATGAAATATGAGCGCAACCGATGCGTTAATAGTTTGTTTACATTGTGTCACGGGTTTTGGATAATATTATAAACCTTAAAATTTACGGGCAAATTCGACGAAAAAGCACTCTCACTTACATTCTTCATTTAAGATATTGATTTTAGCAAAGTATAAGGCAAAATTAAGAGCGATACTTTCTTTAAGAACGCTACAACTACATATTTAACGGCCAAACTTAAACAGCGATCTAATCCGTCTCTTGAAAACAACTACAATACCGCTTCTGATAATAATATTTATAAACGCTGCAAACATTTTTGTTCAATCTTATCGAGTGGTTTTCGTGAAGATGAGTTTTTAAGTGAAGAATACTTTGGTTTCTGATTAGCTTTAACTGTTTTGCCATCAAAACGATTCGCACGAGACTACCGAATTCGCGAGGGTTTTATGTTAGTGCACGAGGAAGAAAAATGCTTCTCTTTGCATAAACATTTTCTTCTTTGTAGCAATGACAAAGGCATTCCAACACTTAAAACAATGGCAACCTACTTCTATTGTTTCTGCATTGTCTCTTGAAAGTGTGAGAATAGTTAACCGCTATGAAGTTCATAAGAGACCGAAAACGACGGTAGTCTTTGAAACTTCGTTTTTGCTCGCAAAGCCTAATGGGTACCCCACTTTTCACGGGCGACGTTTTTCGATGGGCGCGTTTCTGTAATGAGAAAGACAGCGATGCTTCCAGTGCAATGGCTGCCTGAAATGGAACCATCGGTCATGTAATAGTGGTGAGTTACAACTAAACTTATTTTTCCTGAGATAAGAAACAGTGTTCATTGACATCTGAATTCATGCAAACAGCAAATTGATGATGACTGAGTTGCAATTGACTATTGAAAGTTTCCACATTTTGGACTCATTTTACTCGTGCATATGTCTTCTCAGCCGTTACATATGCCTGATTTCTCACAGGTAAGGGCCAGAGCAGATATCATTTTGTTTTGTCCGTCCTGCAGCCGTCCTGATGTTGATCCAGTAGCTGAGAGCACCAGAGTCGCAGAGTCAGAGACTGACATTTTGGAATCAGAAGAATCCTACCCTTCCTAGACCGTCAAGTTATTCTGACTTCTTTGAGTCCACTGTATATGATCCCCCAGCCCAGCCAGCCCTCGATGAATCTACCATAGACGATCCTACAGTGCGACCTATGGTACGATCTATTTCATTACATCATCACACGAAGATAATTAAATTCCATTTAACAAAACTTGCTAGATAAGTCGAGCTCCAAAAAGAACCTATTCCAAAAGCTAACGTAAAGCACTTACTGATAACTATAACAACAAGGTTACAGCCCCTGTCTTGCACTTTTTATTTCTTGTAATAGGAAGTAATAATATATAGATTTAGCCAGGGCTAAAAGCGAAGCTCCTATTAACTCGAATTTATAATTTAATCAAACAATAAACTTGCAATTGTATTTTACAAATCAGTTAACTTTAGAGCACATTCATGTGACTTTTGAGGGAAAGGCTAAGTGATTTTAGAGAAAAATAATTTGCAAACAGTCCAAGCTAAGAGTGAACTTAATCTTACATCGAGTTGATAGCCTTATATGTACACCCAAAAAATAGCAGTCATCTTCGATCACATTCAAGAACCATAATGGCTCTTGATCACAGTAGATTAGGCCTGGAAAACAAATTCTCGGAAAACAAATCAGGCCCAATTTTTTGCGTTCGACAAGTTTACAATTTATTTTACAAAATCTTGCTAACAAGTCTGGGGACGTGTAAACCAACCTTTTATACTTTTTATACATCATCTGAGGTGAAACAGTACCATGAGGCACTGTTTTTATCATACAGGCCTCGGACAGATCACAATTTTGCAATACAAATTGTACTCATTCAACATTCAGGTCGATCGAAGCAGGCGTGGGCTTTTACCGAAACGGTTAAAAAAATTGCTAAAATCAGTTATACGGTTTGCCGGTTCTCACTTTTGACAAGCGCGAAAGTCGACTGTTTAAATAAAGATTAATAGAGTTATACGCTTTAACATGATAAAAAATTTATTATGTTTATTTCTTTATTTAACGGTTTTATAACTATGTGTAATCTTCAAAAGCGTTTGATACACGCGGCATTTTGACTACTCCTGCAAGCGATGTTCGTGAGCGACTGAAAACAAACGGCACAGCGATTAAAATTGCGAAAGAGACTACTAACAAAGGATAATAATTCGGTGAAACATATACAGAGACAACAATTTTCATTCACGAAGACAAGTAAAAAGTGTCTTTGAAAATCCTTGTTTATGTTTTAAGCCGGCTTCCTGGCGTTGCTTTTTTCAAAGATGAACTCGAGGCAAGAAAATCGCTCAAAGATTTCTTTTAGAGCCAGAATTATAACTAAATATTCTTTGGAACGTTTTCTTTCTATTTGCAGTGCGAAAATGTCTAAAGGCTTTTTAAAGTTCTATAAGCTTATATAATCAAACCTGATACTCGGTCAAATCGATCATTGTATAAAATCTTACAAACGTGCATAAACCAAATAGCCGCATAAACTACGCCCGACTTCATTAAATTAGATATAAAAAACAAACATCAAATACAATAATTACCCAGGCTTACCCTCAGGCTTGCTCTGCAAACTATCAAGTAAGGCCAGAATCGCTTCAGACTTTTCAACCCTCTTACGCATCAAGCAAGGTGAAAAACGAAAACGATGCCATCCGGAATCGGATTTCCGACTTTGACAAGCGACGTATTTCTCAACCAAAAACCCAATAAACAAACGAACTATGAATAACAGAAGACTCTTGATAGCAGCAGAACTTCATTTTGCACATTCAGGGGAGAAAGACAGTTAAAAACATCACAAGTTGACACAGAATTCTGTCAGCTTCAGCTGTCAAAGTAAACAAGTTTCAAGATGCTGCATAAATTTTCCGCATGAACCCACCTGTCAAATTTTGACCAATCAGAGCATAAAAATTGGACGTAGAGCGTGACCAACGCGTGACCTTATTGAGAAAAGTCAAAAGCAACTGGCATGTCTTCCCTGCCTGTAAAAACTGGCTGAATTTTAGCTTTCGAGGTCAGTTTGATATCAAAATTTTAATTGTGCGACACATATAAAACGCAACATTTTTGTGTTTAATTGTGCGACACATATAAAACGCAACATATTTCATGTGAATAAGAAAAATAAAACTTGAGCCTGCGATCATTTGAAAACTAGTAACTTGTCAGCGGATACCTTCAAAAAGATACTCGGCCTCGATGGGTCGACACCTGAGCCCGCGATACGGTCGGGTGATAATTGTCAGCGGATACCCTGTTTTGACAGCTGTCAATTGATCACAACATTGATGTACAATATGTGTGCAATATCAGTTTTCCTGTGCTACCAAACTCGCTAGAAAGTGTGAGATTGAACATTGGTTTTCCTGTGGTGCGGACGGACGGGCGGGCTGCGGGCGGTGTACGGTCACGTGATTACCAAATTTTCTCGGATGGGTAGATTTACTTACCCATGGTGCTCCGCAGGCGCGCTTTTCGCGCCAGAGCTCCGCTATAAACTGTTCCCTCAAATAAATGAAATATTTGGCTCTTAATTAGGTTGATAGGTACTGTAGCGAGTTGTATGTAAAAACAACTAATCCACAAGACCAGACCGTCAAGGCTCAAAATTACAGGCGGTCAACGTAATATGTTGGGTCAAGATTTGGCCGGTCAACATTAAGGACCTGAAAATTGAAATAACTGCTTTTACATGGCTTAGCTCATTTTTTTTTTTAAAAAATGTTACTTTACTAACTTGATAACCGCACTCAAAAGTGCTTTATAATAATTAAGATATGTTCGTCCTAAATTCAATATTTCCCCATCTCGCAATACAAGGAGTTTTAGAGCATTTATGGGGGAATTTTTTGTCTTAATTTGCCTGTTAACGCAGGTTCTTACTCGTGAAGTTTTAGTGTATTTCGACCGGTCCGAGCTACAATTTGTTTGGCAGGAAACAATGACCGAGCTAAGATTTGTTTGGCCTGTCAACGTGACCGGCCACTATTTAAAAATCATTTCGAGCACTGACTTCATGACCTTCCTATTTACATAAAAAAATATAAGAAGATAGGTATCTACAGAATGGAAAAGCCTAATACTAAAAAAAGATATTTCAATTACAAGAGGGAGAATAGCCAGCCGAATACCTCTTACACTTGACAAAAGCAAATCTGACGCACATTTAAATTCTGTTTACCCTAAAAAAGTAAATAGCGGGCCTGCATGAACCCGCACAATCTGCTACAAATTAGCTCTTTCAAAAATCATCATGGCAAAACCAGGGCAAAACATCATTAAATTCAAGCTACTGTCCGCCAGGCACAAGGATGAAACAAGTGACATCTCAAAGACTTTTCAGAAAACATAACAACGCTTTCACAGACATTAGGCCGTTTACATGTAATTTACGATCCTCTAACACTGAAAAATTTCTCACTTGCCACGAAGACCAGAGTCGCGGCAAAAATTTTTACGCTTACGTAAGCTTACAGAATGACGAACAGTCACGACAGGAGTTTTATTGAGCGATTCATTGCACGGTCGCATCGGACAGAAAACAATGCCAATGGTTATTTAACTAAAATCTCGATGAAATTAAGATTACCTTGGGTTTTCCGCGCACCAGAAAGATCGAAGATACATCGATGAGTACTATACTGTAACATCTTGATGTGCCTGTCTTGCTAAATTGAAACTTCAATTTCCTTTCTTTTAACCGAACTTAAACACATGTCAAAATATCTTAACCGCGGCAAATTACTAGAGACGGAATACATTTCCCTCAAGATGTAAGATGTCTGAAACTCGACACTGCGTGACAATAAGTGACGTGTGCTGATTGGTCAGACAAACAAAACAACAGCTAGTCAGATAGTTTTCAAAGTGTTTTTGTAAAAACCAAAAACGCCTTCTATCCGCTACATATATATTAACAGTAAACTAACCTCGAAGATAGCCACTCACCTTCTCCTCCTTCCCGCTCGTCTTCGTTTATACGACGCGCGTTTCCCCTTGCTGTTTCTCGCCCTCTTCTTCGCCGCTCGTCGCTAATTCGGCGTCTATTTTCTCTTGCTCTCTCTCGTTCATTCTCCAGTTGCTCTTCAGTGAAATTTTGCCTCCTTTCTCTGTTTCTCTCGTGCTCCCTCTCACGTTGCTCATCAGTAAAGTTGCGCCTCCTTTCTCTATCCCTTTCCTGCTGTATTTCCCGTTGCTCGTCAGTAACATTGCTTCTCCTTTCTCTGTCTCTTTCTCTCTCCCTTTCCCGTTGTTCGTCAGTAACATTGCGTCTGCTTTCTCTGTCTCTTTCTTTCTCCCTTTCCCGTTGCTCGTCAGTGCAGTTTCGCCTCCTTTCTATAGCTCTCTGCCGCTCTCTCTCTCGTTGAGCTTGGCTTGCTTGCCGCCTACTTTCTCGTTTTCTCTGTCTCTCTCTGTCTCTATACTCCAAACCAGAGGACATAATTAATGAGTAAAAAATTTAGAAAATATAGAAGTAAAAACAATTTCCGTCAACCGATACGAAAAATTTCTTTTTGTTCTGAATTAACTTCGCTGAACTTTTAAGATTACCCTTTACAAAACGCGGGTGGCCATTCGTTTTCGCGCCAAAAAAAAAAAACCTCACTCACAAACGACACAGACTACCCCAAATTTTGCGTTGGTATGCCTGTGGTGCGGACGGACGGGCGGGCTGAGGGCGGTGTACGGTCACGTGATTACCAAATTTTCTGGGATGGGTAGATTTACTAACCCATGGTGCTCGGCAGGCGCGCTTCGCGCGCCAGAGCCCCGCTAGGAATCGTTTTGGACTGTTTTCTGAAATCCAGGCCCTAACATTCTCCAGTTGATCGCTTTTTCGGGGATAGGTCTGTTTAAAACCCGCAAAATTAAGTACCAAAAAGTTATTCGCTTTTGTCCTTTTTTTCGCAATATAGGAATAGGGATTCCGTTAACAGTGAGGTCGAGGGCAGCCAAATGCCCCTCTCCTACCATCCACGGTGCTAGTGCCGAATCTTCGCTCGACGATCCATCTGTACACCAACAGCAAGACCAGCACCAACTCGATGATGACCGGTGACGTACCAAATAGTCGACGACGAAACTAAAAGGGGGCAGCAGAAGCTCGTTGACAGCAGAGGATATATCTTCATCATTGTCGAGGCGATGCTGTTGACTGGCAGTGTTCAGTCAGGCCCATGTTGAATCCGTGTAGAGCGAAAGTAAAACAACGTGGTAAGAGTTTCAAAGCAGGACCTAGTGGACACAACCACCCAGCTTATGTGGGGTCCACTATTGCCGCGAAAGTGATTTCCATTGTAAAATCCAAGTTCAAGAAAGACATCTTTAGACCAGTTCCAGCAATTGTTCATCAGGTAAGCTATGATAAAATGTAAACTATATGTTGAAGTTATTCAATCCATGATATTTGATAAATCATAAAATATCAGTATACTGCAGTCCTTTATCTTTTGTTCCCCACAGAATTTAATCGTCAAATTGAATATAGACAGTCATTTAAATATTCTTTTTGTTTCTTATAGGTTTATTTGGAAGAAATAAGTAATGCCCCCTGCCCTGGTCTTCCCCAGCCCGATTACCTTGCCAGACAAGCAAATCGCTTACGGCAAAAGCTCCGACCAGATGACCCTAAAGACCTGGACTTCGACCTTGAAGAAGAGCACATCCCCACTGGTTTTCTGTGGTCAGATCTAGGAGCTCATAGTCGGCGTCACCTGATTTTTGCCACGGATGAGCAGCTACATGACCAAGCCCGGTCAAAGTCCTGGTATATCGACAGTACATTTAAAGTCTGTCGGCATCCCTTCATGCAGCTGCTGTCCATCAACGCCTTCGTGGGAAAAGACCATGTCAGGCAAGTACCTCTCCTATTGGTGCTGATGTCGGCTCACAAGGAATGAAACTACGTTGAGGTAAGAATTCCAATCTTTATTTCATGAGATCGTACGAAAGCTGAATTTATTACTTGTTTCATTTTGCAAAAGCTAGAACAATTTAAGACCCTTAATGCCTCAAGGGCATATGGCCAAAGCGATGCTAAGTTCCCATAGTTTTTTTTTTGAAAAGCCTAAACATTGATGTTAAGTTCCCGTGGACATAGGATAGAGAGGTGTTCATGCATATATGCTGTATTATTAAACACAATTTTATTCCAGGTTTTAAAGATGGTTTTACAGATTGTTCCAAGTATGCCACGAGTAAGACAAATCACTGTAGACTTTGAAAAAGCCATGTGGTCCCTATAAGAAAGATCTTCACTGAAGTACGAATCCATGCGCGTGCCAAAAACCATTGTTTATGCAAACAAGAAGTAGCAATTTGTATTTGTTTCCCCATCTAGGTTCAAGAGCTGGGTCTTCAGGCAGCCTTTTTAAACGATCGGGGGACCCACGCCCTTCTAAAAAAGATGATGGCCTTGCCATATTTACCGGAAGATGAGTTAGGTCCAATGCTCAGACAACTAGAGAGAGATGCGTCGACCCCAGAGCTCACCAACCTAGCCCAGTACATGAAGAGCACATGGATCGACGAGACAAGAAATTGGGCGCCGTAGTAGTGGTCAGCATTTATGGAATCAACCGCACTAACAACGACGTAGAGGGCTGGCATTTCCGACTGAACAGACAGGCATCTGGCAAGTCACAGCTATCATCTTATATCTTGGTAAAACTGCTACACAAGGAAGCTCTTCTCACTTAAGTACAAATTGGCCTCGAATTAGAGAAGAAACTTCGTAGGATTCAGAGAAATAAGTATATGAAACTGCAAACTAAGTTGTTCAGTCTATGGGATGAATTTAATCAATGCCAAAGAAATGCAAAGCAGCTTCTCAAGGCATGTTCTCATTTAACAGGTCCAGTTATGTAATTAATTAAAATAATCATAGGTATAATATTTTAAATCGTGTAAAATTTGTAAACAGTAGCTTATTTAGATAATTGCACACTTAGCTTTGCCAAGTTAACAAGAACTACTTTTAGTGATTTTATGTAATTAATGTAACACCCTATGTTGTTTAGGGACGGGAGCCATTTAGACGTCCCACACGCCCCTGCGTGTAAAAACGATAATAAGTTAAAATATCAGAATTGCGAAACAGCCTAAGTAGATTTTAAGGAAGAATAATGTTCGCTATACAGTACCCACGGCAGTCAGACATTTTTACAGATTTAAAGGGAATGCTTTGACTTAGCCTCTCAAAAGTGTCCTATCTTTGTTCAGATTTGCCGTGCAATTGGGAAAAGGATAGTGGCTTTTCAGCTAACCAGTTTGGCTTGCGTTGGCTCAGAATAAAATCGCCTCATTGCGACACTTATAAAAATTTTAGTTGCTGCTAGTAAGAAATGCCCGGCAGTCTGAAAATTCAAAACAAAACCACTAAAGGTATTCTAACAGATTCTAAATATCGTTAGCACGCAACTGACTTGAATAAAGTTAGCCAAGCAACTATTTTTCGCCCCAATCTAGTGCTGTTTGAATTGAGTTTGTTGAGCAACTATTTTTTGCTACAATTTAGCCCTGTTTGCGACTCACAGCATGGCAGGTATCGTCCCTTTCTCTTCCCCTTCAACCCCTGCCAGGTAGGACTGGGGCTCCTTCGAGTATTTGCCTCTATGCTATCATAAGAATTCATTTTAATTCATTCTTGCGGGGAGATGAACACCGTAAAGAGATTCACACTTGGATAAACTGAGTTTTAGCCGCAAATGGAGGGGTAATGTGGGAAAAGCTCAAAGCTCAATGACTCTCAGTTGCGCCAATTTCTAATGGCAGAGCTGGAAAAATTCCACAGCAAAGGCATGCGGAAAAAGAAAGCAGCCTTCAACATTGGAAAGCACCGTGACAGCAATGTCTACGTTTTTAACAGTAGTTTACAGGTATATGACATTAATAATAATAATAATAATAATAATAATAATAATAATAATAATAATAATAATAATAATAAATGTCTTTATTTCGCCCGTTCAAATACATAACAATCATTACAAAGAGTGAAGTATACATATCATGAAAATCGCACAGATAAAACATCGGGTATCTATATCGTTAAATGGCTACGTTGTATTGAAACCTTATTCTATTAAAGTAGCAATTCTTAAGACGTTCTGTATTAATCCGTTGTAATTGACTTGCTTGTGATCTTAACCTCTTGGATGACTCTTTGACTTTCGGCAAAAAGGCATATAACGGATGGTTAACATTGTTCTTAATTTTGGTGAATAAACTGCGGTCACACTTTTCTTAAAGGTCATAGATATTAATTAACTCAGAAGTGTAACGTCGCTTATTGTACCTTTTCAAAAAACACTGTTTGGCGTTTAAATCTACCTGGCTGGCTTCATAGACTGGAAGTGCGTATGTGATCCTTAGCAGAACAATAGCCTTAAAGAGGTGATCTATCTCTACCTGGGTGTATCCATCTTTTCTTTGTGATCTTAAAATGTACAAACACTTGTTTGCTTCCCGAAGCTTTCCCTTAACATGAGATGAAAACTTACAGTCGTTTTGTAATGTGACACCTAATAGAGTAAGACTGACGCTCTGTTGTATGCCACATAGTGGGGGAAAGTTAGGTTTGACACCTTTTTTAGCGATTCCCAGTTCTTTGCATTTGCTTGTGTTACAGCTCATACCATTAACCTCCTTCCACTCTAAAAAGCATTCAGTACCTTTTGTGATTCATGTACACTATTTGTACACACAGTCACAAGAATAGAAGAGTCGTCAGCATACTTAGTACGACCGCTATCTTGGCAGTACTGAGTGATGTCAAGATCGTTTTAGAACAGGTTAAAAAAATACAGGCCACTGACGCTTCCTTGAGTAGTACTGCAGTTGACATCCTTCCAATCACCAACAGTATTATGACAGACCACTGTTTGTTTTCTGTCCGACAAGAAGCTGACGTGCCAGTTGACAATGTATGGGTTTAAAGGGCTCTGTGTCAGTTCCTCTATTCAAAAGTTGTGCTTGACTCCGCCAAAGGCTTTTAAAAAATCCATCGTAAATAGCCTGACTCTTTATCGTTAACCACGACGATAACCTGACTGGTTATCGTTGCCTGCTAAAGCTTGGAGAAGCTCAAGCTGCATTTTAAGAAGCGCGTTTGCACAACTGCCTTCTGTTCTGTACGCAAACTGGTTATTATTCAAGTTATTCTCCACACCTTCTTTACCAAGGTGTAATACACCACTCGCACAAAAGTCCTAGCAATTACCGATGTGACGCAGATTCCCCTAAAGTCCTGAGGCTTGACTGGAATGTCTACTTTGGGTAGCGGATAGACATTACCTCGCTTCCATGCACTGGGCGACCTTTGATTTGACAGGGATACGTTCCAGATTGCTTTTGCTGCAGGTACTGCCAATATGGCAGCGTTATCCTTCCAAACCCATAATCTGGGCTGGTAGATGTTTGCTTTGTTTTGAGCAGAGCGTAGGAAACCTGGCTCAGTGTGAGCTTTGGTGCAGGAATGTTTTCCGTGATGTCCACGGGTACGGGTCTGATATAATCTTCATCGTGACATAAATTTGCAAAATAGTGATTCAGTTCTCTCACAGAGTCCTCGTCAAAGCTTGGGTTGGATCTTTCTTTTCTATTTGACAGCGCATCGACCTTTTTCCACCAGGCCTTCGAGCCCATCTTTCCACTTGCAAGGGTTTACGATTTTCTGTAACGATTGCATTAATTCTTTCTTTAAGATTAATTGGGCATCCATTTTGAAGGTTGTCAATGACAGAATCAGGCTGACCTTGTGGCTTACAAGAGGTGTTCAAATCTAGGAGGGGCGAGGTAATTATTTCTTCTCCTTTTTTTTCGGCAGATGACCTGTTTAGGTTTCCTCATTCCAGATGGGAATCAGGAGCGTGTTTTCATGCTCCCGTTTCTCACTGGGATGACAATTCCCATTTTAGACAATCTGCTCAAGGAGTAAATTCGCTGCTCCCCATTAAAAGTCGAATCACCCCTTGCATTTTTTGATTGGATGGAGTTTGTACGAGAATGCAAGGATTTCCTTGATGCAAATTTTTACCAGTTTCTCATGTTTCTGGCCGGAGGGATTAGCGCCTTCCATTACCAGCAGCTCGTTTTCCACGCATTTACAGGCTGCGATCAGACATAAGCATTGTTAGGAAGAGGGAAAAGTACCGCCTGGGCTACGTGGATGTCTGATGGAGAAGCCACAGCAGTTTTTAAATCCCTTAGCAAACAGCCTACTATGAAGGATGTTCAAGATGCTCTGCCTGTGCTTGAACGATTTGTAGTTTTGATGTATGACCGAGCAAGCCAGTGTCAGAGCGTCAATGATGCCAGGAAAGTTCTGTTCACACAAAAGGGAAGGACCCTTGAGAACATTCCCCTACTGCTGATGCATTATTACAACATGCCAAGAGAGTGGCCTACCAAGCTGGACATTGTTGGGGACAGTGTTTGGTTTGTATTCCAGAATTGCCCTCTCCTAGTGAATGGGGATGGACAAGATCTGAATCAGATGTGTGGCAGCCTTTGTGGTCCACCTTACCTGAAGCATCAAAACCTTGCCAGGAGCTAGTGAAATGTGGGTGTAAAGACGAGAGAGGTTGTAAAGGACGGTGCAAATGTTTAACAGCTGGAATGTCTTGTACTGCGCTTTGTAAATGTGGTGGTGAATGCACAAGGAAGGATTAAGCTCGCCGACTTTTTGACAAGAATTTAGACAAGGCTTACTTACCTCAAACGGGTTTTTTATCAGTGCAATTGAAACAGTAGTAGACTTCAAAAAAGAACTCAAGATACTGCTAAAATCCGTGACAAAATATATTGCAACTCTTCGGTAAATGATTCAACGATTACCAGGAGTTTAAGTAAAAAACATTGCATTTAATCGTGTAGTTTCTCTCGGTAGAACTATTGGTTTTCTGATAAAATGCACACGTGGTTGTGCATTCTACGCCAAGCTGCAAAACTGCCCTATCATCTCCCCCCCTCCCACTTCCCCCATGACAGTAGACGAAGCCCTCTAAAGAGCTCTGGAGAACCTTAATCGCAAAAAATTCTAATTCTTCCCGACTTTTAGGAAGGGCATTGCATTTTTATCCACGAGAAATGCTAACACAAGCATACAGAGATCTAGACGGCCACCCCTCCTGTCTAACCCCCTACCCCTTACCCCCACCCTTTATAAAGGAATTCTAAGTGCCGGAGGAGACCTACATAACATCTTAAGGACATAACGCCCTATTTGTCTGAGAAAATTCGGCATAATGTCAAATGTTTTTATAAATTGCAATCACCCCACCCCCCTAAATAGAAAATTGCCCCTCTGACTGGGGTCCATAGCTAATATTGTTAAGCAGCCCAAGTACTATTATCATGCCCAATTTGGTGCTTTTACCCCTAAGTGCACCATTTTTTTACCATATGGCTTGACTATATTATCGACAATAATAGAAGACGACCTTTCACAGAAGAATTTATATATTAAGAAAGATGGAAAATCAAACCCATGAAAGAAGAGGAAGAAAAGGTTAAGTTAGCGCCCCATGGAACTTTCAAAAGGAACAACATTCCTTTTGCTTTCATGAACGTTTTTCCAAGAGGAAACCTGAACGGAACCTTGTAAGAAATGAAGGAAAGTAATTGAACTCACAGAGAACGATTTTGGTTTCTCCACTTTTGATGACAAATCACCTGCTGAAGATGTGTGACGCACTCACCAAGGTCACTTTGCCACTCGGGAATATCAGAGCTAGTGCTGGAACAGGTAGTAAACACAAATAAGAAGGATGAACTGTACAGCCTCATTACAGCTGCCAAAGATGATCGCGATTTCACTCCAACGCGCAATCGTCAATAACCCTGAGCTAATGTGATTCTTAGCAACTGATTGAGTTGTATACTCACAGTCTTGTGCAGATGAAGTGGATTTTCGACCAGTTTAAATTGATCCCACATTCAACAATGGGACTTTTAAGGTAACAACAGTTTCATTCCCAGACGTTATGCTCGAAGGTAGCCAAACTGTCCACACCCTGTCTCCACTGTGTCTTACTCGTGTTCGCAATGCAAACCACAGTCATCGGCGTTCTATGGAAAACTTGAGTTGTTGTATTGAGCATTTTAAAGAATTTGACTTGTTGAGTGCTAATTACTGATCAAAATTAAGAAATTAAAGTTATTCGCTTCTCACTCTTGCTTAACATAGGAAAGTGCAGAACCGAAGCCTTACTATCATTTCGATGATTGAAAACCACTACAGTTTGGAGCTATAATGACGAACTCCTCTCAGTCTTCAAGATCAAGCAAACCATTAAGGTAAATGTGAGTTAACCTTAAAACCTTTCTTTCCATACAATCAGCTTTCTCTCGGGCAGAAAAGATACGGCTTGGCGCACGCTACTGGTGTACATGAGGATAACCACCGTGCCTACTTACAATTTGCGCTCAAGAAAAAGCACGGGGAAAAAACATGCAAAGGCCGAGATTAGACACACTTTAGGCACAGTTAAGGCACGTGTTAAATACTGCTAAGGCACATTTTAGGCACAATTTGGGCACATTTGAGGCACAAATATTTGATGTTGGGCACTTTTATGAAAATCTTTGCAACCCGACTTGTGAAAAAAGAACAAACTTGGTACGAATGGCCAAAACATTTCAGATCAAACACAACACAATTTGGAGTATAGGAAGGGTAAAAAGTTTCGAGCTGCGGCGAAATTAGGAAAATAAAAGTATTTTTCGACAGTCCGTGTTTACTGCGAGGATAAACTGGAAATTTACACACAATATAGTCGAAACCTTTTCGATTGTCTTTTTGTCATGCAATTTAATAGAGCTTTCTTTCGTAAATCGTGTAAGAAAGTCAAAGCCGTAATAACGTTAGAACTTATTGATTGGGTGAATCTTGATAAATCAGATGCCAATTCAGCCCATGTATCTTTTCTTAATAAATTCCGTGAAATGTATAACAAAAACATTCCTACCAAAGCCATTCAACTCAAGTATCGGGGTCAAAAATCATGTTGTAACCCTTGGCTCATGAAAGGTCTTTTGAAATCCATAACGATAAAAGCTAAACTTTACAAAAACTTTCTTGAGAACCCAAGTGTCACTGTTGAAAAGGGTTAAGAAACTTTTAAAAATAAGCTTAATCACAGGCTAATAAGGATTGCGAAAACAAACTGCTATGATCATAAACTTGCAGCCTTCAAAATTCACATAAAAACTACTTTCTTACTTCTAAATCTTTGTTATCCTTACACTGTACATTGGTGTACCCATATCTTAACTAAAATGTAACGTTGTCTATTGCTCATCGTATCCATCCAATTTGAATAAGATTCTCTACCTACAGAAACGCATCGTCAGAATGATTTGTGGAACTCAACATCTTGCCCATGCCGCACCCCTTTTTCGGATTCCTAATACCCTTGACATTTTTAACATAAATGCGTTCTTTATTGCGTGTTTTAGGTACTCATATCATAATAACCTCTTTTTTCATACGTTTAAGAGTGCATCCACGAGAGGACCAGGCAGGGGTGGCACAAGCCATCTCACCAATTTTGGTGAAACTTGGCCGGTTTGAAGGGGTCCACCCAAAACTAGTTCACTCTAAGTTTAAGGAAATTTGGTCAAAACCGGGGGGAGATGACCACCCCCCTTGTTTTTTTTGTTTTTTTTTTACACAAATGACAAAAAGTCACCTAAAAATTGGTCGAAAGTATAAAGCTCTACTGCTAAAAGAATTCAACCAAATCTTTTCATATTTTCAGTGAATGTTATCCTACGCAAAGAAACTTTACTGTTAACGTTTCGTTCTTCTACGGCTAGTTGCTATCACACAAGTCATCTCAACCAAGCCATGTCCTAAGCCACGAAAATAAGAATCGGCGGCCTTATGATGACCTCTATTATTGTATAAGTGAACTATGTAACGGAACTTACTCTTCGCCAAGTCAAACACACGATTCACAGAATACTATTAAAAGGCTTACATTGTCTGTATTTGAATGTTACAATGATTGTATAATAAAATTTGCTTTTGTTCGTCTAATAAAGGAATAATATATTCGCTTGAAACTTGCACACCACATTACATCTTGATGCACAAATTGTTATCCAAAAGAATTCGTTCTTCTGAAAATAAATTGATTTGCTTGCGACTCAATGTTGGTTGCTTAATACTGCTGAAAAGGAGTAAAAGAGGAGAAGAGCGTTAGGCTGTAAAATAATCCCTGGAAATTACTTCCTGGCAAGCGCATACATCTTTGTAATTTGATAGCTTGATTCGATCTTCCATAATAACCAAAAAAGAACAAACTTTCGCTTTAAAAATACAAATTGATCAGAACGAATCGAGTTGCTTTGTTTTTTTCTTTAAAATCGAAGTTCTCACATGTATAAAGGTTGGGCGATTCTTAATGTTGAATTCGGCCTTAGGATATGTAATAGACCTAATAGCCCAGATACATCAAAAGGTTGTTGAGATTCACAGGCTTTCTATCAATAAATGCACGTGCATGAATATTTCAAAGTTTTCCTCCGCTCTGCCGATCAGTTTAAGGTATACGATGTAGAGGTGAAACGATCTCTTGTTAAAAACGATGTCGCAGTTCTCGTGCTCTTTTGCCGGGCACTGTACAAGTGAGTGTGATGTATCAACCAGATAACCCGATCGTACGCAGTTTTCCCTTGAATTCTTGCAAAGGCGTACTTGAGAGAACTGCAAACAAAACAATCATGTGTAGCCTCTGAGAGAGAGCTGACACTTGCTCGTGTCGGTTTGTTTGGCAAGGAGGGTAAGGGTATGGTTATTTGCCCAAAGCATCACGCTTTACTTGGAGTAAAATATTGTCCGTCAACAATCCGCTACATGGTCGCCGTAAGAGTAAAGTATCCAGAGGGGTGAACTTGAAAACGTCGAAAGAGATAAAGGAGACATGCGACGTTTTTGTTCCCGTAGGCTCAGGTAAGCATAATTACTAAATAAAAATACAGTTTATGCATGCTTTGGTTTATTGATGATTTCGCCCCATGTAAGGTAATCAAGACAGTTTTGGTTTCTGGATTCCAGTATTTGTCAGTGGAGCTTGGATTCTGAATTTCAGTCGTTAGTGGGATTCCAGATTCGTAGAGCTGTATTCTGGACTCCAGAGCCCAGGATTCTGGATTTCACAAGCAAAATTTCACAAACAAAATTTCAAAAGCAAAATTTCAAAACCAAAAATCCAGTTTGAGCTAGCAGTGGACATGAACAGAAGAATTCAGATTTAGAAACGAAGACCCGAAGATTCACGCTAGTGTAAGTAGTTTTTTTTTTCTAAGAGTTTTTTCATCCTTCGTGCGTATATCTTATCAGCACATTTCGGTTTCTCCTTTTTCAGTGAATCATTCTGTAACTCACACTATTAATCCTCGAAATGTAGAATTGAAAGAGGCAAGCCATTGTCGATGTGTGAATGCTGATTAACTTGAACTGTTAGAATACTGAGACAGAATTAAATAATGAATCTTGAAGAACAGCGAAAAGACAACAACATCATTCGACAAGCTGAACAGGAGAAAGAT